CTAAATCCCTTTCTGCTTGGGTTAATTTTATTTCTTTTTAAAATAAAGGCAAAGCTGTTCTGTTGTGGAAAGCTCTGGCACTGGTGACCTTCGTTCTGCTCTTCCAATCTTCTCTTCATTTTATCATAAAGCAAATTTTGAAATGTGCACTGACTTCATGCTCTCACATTCTGCAATCTTGTTACAAACGTTTCTCTCTGAATTAATTCGGATAAAATTGTTCACTGCATAATGCTAAATTTTCATAATATATGAGTTGCAATATCAAAGGACAAAAATGATACTAGTTTAAAAAGGAAACCAGTTTCAATTCTGGAATTTTCCTTGTGTCTTTGGATATCACTTAATCAGTGGTTTCGAATTTTTAAGTCCCCAAAACTGCTTGTTCTCATAAAAATTATTGAAGAGCCCAAAGAAACTTTTTAAAATGGAGATACATTTATCAGCATTTACTTATTTAGAAATTATGTTAGAAAAGGTTTAAAAATATTTATTCATTTAAAAACAACTCAATGATCACATGTTAAAACAAATAACATATTTATAAAAAAATGACAATTTCCGTAACAAAACAAAACAAAATCAGTGAAAAGAGTGGCTTTGTTTTACTTTTGTAATTTTTGAAAGATTGGCCTAACAGAAAATAACTGTATTCTCTTGTGCTTCTTCACTCAATCTGTTGTGACATCACGTGTCCATGCAGTCTCTAGAAAGCGTCTCCAAACACTTTGAGAGGATGACTGTGAAAAAGGCAAATAGCATCTTAGTGTTATTATGAAAATTATTTTGACCTCAAAGAACCACTGATAGGGTCTAGGGTTCTCCAGATCACCCTTTGAGAACCACTGATTTAGATCAATATTAATTTATGGTTAGTTAGGTATGATGGTAAATAAACTCATATTTCCTGATGTTTAAGTACATACATTAGGTAGAAATAATTACATGTCTATGTTTTACCCTTACCTGTATTTACAGTCTGCTTTTCTACGTTATAAACTGTTAGGTTCTGCTGTCTGACAAATCATTTTTAAAAGATATATGGATTGATATAAATGCATGTCAAAAACATGGCCTGATATGTCAGTCTATATGAAAAACAACCACAAGATTGACTCACATGCAATTTTAAGTCTCATTCTGAAATACGTTTTTTTTTAACTTTTTGTTTTGAATAATTATAGATTTAGAGGAAGTTGCAAAAAAATGTACAGGGAAGTCCCTTTAACCATTTCCCCTGTGTAGATGAGTGTGACAGCCATCACAATCAAGATACAGAACTGCTCCATCACCACAAGACTCTCTACTTCTTTTTAGTCATACTTAGTTCCCTCACCTCCCTCCCCAACACTAACTCCCTGAAACTGCCCATCTATTCTACATCTCCATAATTTTGTTATTTCAAGAATGTTGTATAAGTGGAACCATACAGTACGCAACCTTAACGCTACACAATATTCTGAGATCCATCCAGGTTGCTTGTATATCAATAATATGTTCCTTTTTGTTGCTGCATAGTGTTCTCTAGTACGGGTGTACCACGCTTTGTACAACTACTTCTCTGTTGAAGGGTTTTGTTTCCAGTATTGGCTATTATAAATAAAGCTTATATGAAACTTCCTATACAAGTTTGTTTGAACATAGTTTTCATTTCTCTGAGATAAATGCCTGGATGCATCTGTTGGATTATATAGTAAGTGCATGCTTAGTTTTGTAAGAAACTCTCAAATATTTTTTCAGAGTGTGTGCACATTTTGTATTCCCACCAGCGATGTCTGAATTATCCTGTTTCCCTACATCCATGCCAGAATTTGGCATTACCATTATTTTTTATTTTAGCAATTCTAAAACTCATTGTAGTTTTAATTTGCAGTCCTTAGTGGCTGATGATGTTGAATACTTCTCACAGTCTTATTTACATCTCTTTATCATCTCTAGTGCAACACCCATTTCTAATTGGATTTTTTAAATTGAGTTTTGAGAGTTCTTTATATATTTTGCATATATACTAGTCTTGTTGGATATGAGGCTTGCAAATATTTTGTCCAAGTCTATATCTTGTATTTTTATCCTCTAACAGAGGATTAAAGCATAATCCGGATGAGATCCAGTTTATCAGTTTTTCTTTTATGGGTCACATCTTTGTTGTCAATCCTAAAAACTTTTAATCTGGATGAGGTCCAATTTATCAGTTTTTCTTTTATGGGTCACATCTTTGTTGTCAACCCTAAAAACTTTTAACCAAGTCCTTGGTCCCAAAAGTTTTTCCTATTTATTTTTCTAAAATTTTTATACCTTCACATTTTACATCTAAGTCTATGAATCATTTTGAGTAATTTTCATATAAGGTATGAGGTCTGCACTGAGGTTTGTTTTGGGTTTTGTTTTGCCTACAAATGTCCAATTGTTCTAGTAGCCATTGTTGAAAGGTTGAATTCCTCTGTTAAACTGCTTTGGCATCTGTGTCAAAAACCAGATGGGCATACTTGTGTAGGTCTATTTCTGCATTCTCTGTTTTGTTGCATTGGTCTATGTATCTATGCCTCTGCCAGTATCATGCAGTTTTGATCACTGTAGCTATATAATATCTTAACACTGGGAAGAGTAATTCCTTTCACTTTGTTTCTAAAATTGATTTAGTTATTCTAACTCCTTTCCTCTTCAATAATAATAATCTTGTCTATGTCTACAAGAACTGTGTTGGGATTTTGATAGGTATTTTATTAAACATAAAGATCAATTGGAGATAATTGACATCTTTAATACGGTAAGTCTTGTGATCCATGAACATGGTATGTTTTCCATTTATTTAGATCTACTTTGATTTCTTTAATCATTATTTTGTATTTTTCAGCATCTAAAACTTATACATATTTTGGTAGATTTATGCTTAAGCATTTTATTTTCTTTGGAGCAATTGTAAATGGTATTCTGTTTTTATTTTTTCCACATTATTGTTGTTAGTATAAAGAAATGTAATTTATTTTTGTGTGTTGATCTGTGTCATGCAGTCTTGGTGGATTTACTAGTTAGTTCCAGGATCTTTTTTATAGGTTCCTTGTTTTTGTCTTTTTTTTAAACATAGATGATCATGTCATTTAAAAATAGGGATACTTTAATTTCTTCCTTTTCAATCTGTGTACCTTTAATTTCTTTTTCTTGTCATATTGTGCTGCCTAGAATTTATAGTACTATATTCAATAGAAGAGGTGAGACTGTATATCCTTGCTATGGTCATGATCTTGGGGGGAAAGCACCCAGTTTTTCACCATTAAGTATGATGTTAGCTGTAGTTTTTTGTAAATGCTATTTATGAAGTTGAGAAAACTTTTGATTCTTGCTTACTGAGACTTTTTATCATGAAAAAGCATTGGATGTTGTCAAATGTTTTTCTGTGTCAACTGATTTATCATATGATTTTTTTTCTTCTTTATCCTATTGCTATGGTTTATTACATTAAGTGATATTCAGATATTGAACCCCCCTCACAGAGGCGAATTATTCCTAGTTGATCATGTTGTATAATTCTTCTTGTACATTGCTAGGTTCAATTTGCTATTACTGTTTAGGATTTTGCCTCCAAGTTCAAGAGTTTTATTGGTTACTAGCTTTTATTTATTTATTTTTTTATACTGTATGTGTCTGCTTGTGTTGTGAGAGCAATCCTGGTCTCACAGAATTAGTTGGGAACTGTTCCCTTTTCTATTTTCTAAAAGAGATTATGTAAAGTTGGTGTTAATTCTTCTTTAAATATTCTGGATTGTCATTTTATTGGTAATTGATGACTTGTCCCCCTTATCACTCATGGTTTGAGCATAAGTAATCCTTAACACGTCTGTTTAGAAAAATAGGGATTAAAAACCTGCCCTTTATATCTTACATGAGATTTTTCTAGGACATGTGGGCATACAATACAATTCCTTTCTCCCTATTCTCAGATGCAGTGAGGTCAGTGCCTGGATATGGTCAATCACCCAGCTGGGTAGCCTGATCTCATGCCCTCACAATATTTAGGTAAAGCTGTATCTATAGACATAAATAAGTTAAGAAGTGCATTGAGGGAAACTAGCATTCTTTGCTGTCTACTCTTGCCACATTGCTGGGCTAGTATTTACTGTTGCACACTGGTAATGTGCCTTAGAGCTCACCTACTCCTGGTGAATAAAAAGCAGGAGAGGCATTGTCCTTACTGTTCTCTCACCTGGGAATGTGGGAATGGTGAGGATGGGCTCAAATACTTGTATATATATAAGTTGATCTATCTGTCTATCTATCTATCTATCTATCTATCTATCTATCTATCTATCTATCTATCCATATATTATATATATATATATATATAATATATATAATATATATATTCCTATATATTATCTTGTTTAAGTTTCATGTTTTACAAATAAGGACTCTGAGTCTTCTTAACAGGATAATAATATATATAATATATATATTCCTATATATTATCTTGTTTAAGTTTCATGTTTTACAAATAAGGACTCTGAGTCTTCTTAACAGGATAATATATTTAAAAAGAAAATTTACTGCTCTTATCATTAAGCCCGGTTCTACTGGTTTATATGAGAAATGGAAAGATTCAATTCCCTAGCTCTTTCCTAAAAAGATTTCTTTTTTTTTTTTAAATATACATGGCTTTAGAGTATGTTTGGAGCTATGAGCAGAGAGGTCAAGATACTGATGACTATACTACTATTTTAGGAGTAATGCTAAAACTACTGGTTGTTGAAAGAACAAAACAACAGTAGACTCGTAGAAAATGAGAACTGACCAAGGGGGGAAGGGTTGGGGTGGGTGGCAGGGGGAAGGTGAGAAGAATAAAGGGGCACAATAATTCACAGTCACGATTTAAGTTGGTCATGGGGATGGTAGTACACCATGGAGAATATAGTCAATGATTCTGTAACACCTTTCTATGTAAAAGCTATTGTTATGACTGCTAAGCCAATTTTAGAGTAACCTTTTTCCCCATGTCTGTTTTGCAGGAGAGCCATGGATTATTACAGAAAATATGCAGCTGTCATTCTGGTTACATTGTCTGTGTTTCTGCATATTCTCCATTCCTTTCCTGATGGGGAGTTTGCAATGCAGGGTATGTGACCAAAGTTGGGTTTGTAGTAATAAGAAAAGCACATATTTCTACACATCCATCAATAACTCCATTAATTACATTTTTACTTCTATTTTTTTATTAAAGTGTCATTGACATACAATCTACTTCCCTTTCAAATGTGATAAATCTTTGCTGCTGGATATATATCTAGGCACTTTTAGATTGTAAACATAAAATTAAATTAGGTTCAGAAAAATGTACAGTGAAAATAATGTCTAACGTGGTTGTTTAAGTAGCAACCTGTACATTTTTATCTGAAATAGATTCTTATTATTCTTTATCTGAGTTTTACAAGCAGAAAATGTTCTTTATTCAGTTAGCTCAGTTATTTTATTTTTTTTACAATTCTCCCAGAGGACCTGAGAGGATTTTAGCATTGCCCTTGTAGATGAATTTTCACGTCAGTTAACATGTGAGAAAAACAAAAACCATTTTATGCAGTAAATTTGTTCTGCTGTGTTGTTTGAAATATATCATGTAGTAGCTGATATAATTCCATCTACTATGAAATTGTGAGCTGCAGTTCTTTATGGGTTTTTCTCTAGTCAAGTGGTAATATTTTAATCCCAGCTCCCAAGTGCAAATGTCTGACCTAATATCAGGCTCTCCACACTCATCAGGCTTTCTTAATTCTGGCATATTTTTCTCTGTCAATATTTGGAGTTTCTATGGGAAGAAAAACAACAGCAGATTCTAAAGGGGAAAATATTTTGCTTCTGGGCAAAACTCTCGTTTCAGATGAGCGTGGTGTTTTCATCTGTCAAGTTTTGTGTTCCCTATAGGATACTATCAACATTGGGGTAGAGAATCCATGCTTGCAAAGAATGTGCTACTATTGAGATTTCTCATGCATACCTATAAAAATTGTCTCCCATGAAAATAACTGGAATCAGTACAGATAGATATTATACATATAGAATAACATATAGCCAAAAAGTATTTGTTTATATTCCCTTTATTTCCAACGGAAAAAAAAGAATATTTACCATGCACTAATGAGGAAAAATTCGATTTCCTTTTGAGTGATTTTTGGATTATTTTGCTCTTTGCCTTTTTTATAATAGGTTGCCCAGAATGCAAGCTAAAGGAAAACAAATACTTCTCCAAGCTGGGTGCCCCAATTTATCAGTGCATGGGCTGCTGCTTCTCTAGAGCGTATCCTACCCCAGCCAGGTCCAAGAAGACAATGTTGGTCCCAAAGAACATCACCTCAGAAGCCACATGCTGTGTGGCCAAAACGTTTACCAAGGTGAGAACTTAAAAGGCCCTAGAAGCTTCTAACAGTCCAACCAAAGCAATGTCCCCAGAGCACATCCGTGGGGTTCAGTGGCGGAGGTATTTAAGGGCCGATCTTATGTTGGGCATTTGTACAGGGAGAGGTTGCATTTGTCCCCATTAATCAAAATGGTCAGCAGCCTGTGGGTCCAGGCTGGATTCTTTCAAAATGAAGAGAACAGGGGGTGGAGGTGATGCAGCGTAGGTTGGGAGAGAGTATAGCATGCTGCACAGTGCAGACCTCACCTTGCAGAGTGACGTTCATCAGCGGAAAGGGAGAATGTGCATATGAAGCAAGCATCTATTTAGTTCAGCTGGCTAGAGGCTATTTTACATTTCTCCGTTTTGCATGTCACCTATCTGTCTGTCAATTTTATTCCTTTCTTTTCAGGCCACAGTAATGGGAAATGCCAAAGTGGAGAACCACACGGAGTGCCACTGCAGTACTTGTTATTATCACAAATCTTAAATATTTCACAAAGCGCTGTGTCAATGACTGCTGATTTCCTGGAATGGAAGATTAATTTGTTCAGTGTTTATGGCCTCGTGAGACACAACCCTGCTTTTTCCCTACCATACTACTTTTGACATGCTTCAAGGATACATCGCAGCTTTACTGCCTTTCTCTTTATCCTCCAGTATAATCAGCAGTCTAGCTCTTTTCATTTGGAATAAAATACAGCATTTAGCTGGTTCCACTGGCAATAAAATCTTTTAAATCATCATTCTGTCATTGGATTCTAAATTTTTCCTTAAAAGTTAAAGCCAGTTGCTTTTGATAGGATTCATTGAAGAGAGGGAGCCAGTGGCTAAGCTGCAGCCCCGTACACTCCACGACCTGACGCTGGAGACCCTTGGTCCCACTGAGCCTTCCAGAGCAGGCTGTGCATCCTGCTGCTAGCGAGCTAGTTATAAGGTGGTCCATTAGGGTAAGGGAAGACAGTGTGAGAACGTCTATTCATTTTTATATTGCCCCTTTAAATTCCCATTTTTATGGGTTGTATAAACGCACAGAGACATTAGTATGGTAACACATGTATAAAATTTATAAATGAGTAATTGTGCACATATTGGGGAGGTCTGGTCAGGAATTTTCTAATGGTAGAAGTGTACAATCAGAAAAAAATTAGAGAACACTGCTTTAGGGTTTGGGAAAGATAAAAAGCCTTTCCAGCCTGAAGTTTCTACCCATTTGGATTATGTCTAGAAAAAAATAATTATCTTTTAGTGGTAGCCAGGTGGTAACTGAATGGTGGTTAAGGAAAGAGTCTTGGCTAGAATCGGGTATTGCTCCAAAATTCCAGAGGCATCAGCTTCTACATTCCGCCTTCCACGGTCTGGATGGGAATGAATAAATGATAAGCAAAGTACCCACTGAGCCCTCATTGTGGTCTAGGTGGAGTCCCAGGCACTACCATTCAGCTCTGTCCAAATGCTTCAGACCAGGGCCGTGCTTCAAAGCCACATTTATGGAGCATGTATACTGAAAAACAGAGATAGTCCTTCCTTTGAGGATCATGGTTTTATACCCATTAAATTATATTAGCTAAGGTAGCAATCAAAGCCACCCAAAAGTTCTACTTCTAAAGGAGACTGAAATTAAAAAAAAAAAAAAGACCACACTGGTCACAGATGAGGTTTTCAAAAGAAAATTGCAGTCATCACCAGTTTGTCAAGATTCCATTTCTGAGTAAAAAGCCAGTTCCTAAGAGGTTGGGAAGTGTCAGGGTGAAAAATTTAAATGAGTGCCTGTACTTTTAAAGAAACACTGAAATACACATAAAGGCATTGCTTCATTTGTTTATTCATTTATTTATCATACATTTAATGTCTAGTAAGTGCTGGCACAAGTGTTAGATCGTGGTGATTCAGAGACATCAGGATTCTCTGAACATAAGATTGACAGAATATAACGCAGCTTAATTTGAGAGAACAGTGGTATTTATCATTGTTCATTCCAATATTTAACATATTCCTTGAGAGCGTGTTGGGAGGATTCAGCAGGAGAGGAAAGCCGTTGGCACACGTTGACTGGAGTGCCCTTATCCATCTGTGATCCTCTCTATTTTAGACAGAGGGGGTGTAAGGAGTAATGAGAGAGGAAGGGGATATCCTTATGGGAATTCAGATCAGCCAGTTCAACCCCAGTGAGCACCCAGGTGAAGTGTCATGGCCACACTGACCTCCCATCTGACCATGGGCCAGGCATGGGGCTGGTCCTAGCACAGCCAAGGTAAGACAGAGACGCTGCCCTAAAGCAACCCACAGTCCGCGAACTTCGGGTGGCCTAACAAGAGGGATGGTTAACCCAGCCTGGTGCAGGTCATCATGGAGAACTTCACAGGGCAGGTGATACTTCAGTTGGGACTAGAAGATAAATAGAAAGAAGGGGGAGGAGTTCAGTCTAGTGTGAGGAAACAGCGTAAATAAACATCCTGAGATAGGAACCTGTGTGATGGGCACTGAACAGGAAATACAGTGGGACAGGACTGCAGGGAGCTGCTAGGAGGGCTGGAGATGCAGAGACGGAGACATTTTCAGGAGGGTCCTTTTGGAACACGTGAAGAAATGTGCATTCTAGCTAGGACCCAGCTTCTTCAGCTAGAGGACCTGAGGGTTCCCGAAGCCACAGGATAAACGTGCACCTTTCCTGATGCAGGGTGAATTCGGCTTGAAGATGGGGGGAAATGTTATTTCAGTTTCAGAACAAAAAGTGACATGCTATAGAATAGCATGCAAAACTGAAAAAAATGGGATAAAAAACTGTGCCTGAAAAAAGAACCTTCATGCTGTGGATCGGGCGTTCCAGCTCCTGTTCTTCTGACCCTTCCCCAACCTCCCGGGAGCACCTTCCTCTTCTTGCCGCAGGAGTATTTCACTGCAGGAGTTCGAGAAGTTCCAGTAAAAGAATAACATGCTCAGCTTTGCACTTTGGAAAAATCATTCTGTCGCCAAGTGAAGGGAGATTTGAGAAGGCTAGAGACTGGATGCAGGGTCATGAATTGGGGCCTTTGTGAGCGTCTTGGCAAGAGACGGTGCTGGCCTATGGGAAGTGGCAGATTTGGGAGGGATTAAGAGGGAATGAAGAGTTGACTGTGGGTATGACTCCTGGATTTTTAGGTGGCTGGTGGATGACTGTGCCAATAATGGAAAAGATTTGCATGACAGCACATGGGGGAGATGACAAATTCAGTTTGGAACTTGCTGAGTTGAGTTGCCTAAGGAGTACCAAGTGAGCATGTCTGATAGGCAGCGTGTACAGGGGGACATGGAGCTCAGGAAAGGAGTCCAGCCTGGAAGTACAGGCTTCAGGGTCATCAGTGGTCAGTGGTACCAAAGCCACAGGGGACGCTGGGATTGCTTAGGAGGGTATGAGGGCATGAGGGAGAGGAGATGCTGGGTCACCAAGGATAGATTCTGGGCCAGCTTAAATGAGAAAATGGCCCTTATATCTTTTGGGACAGTTGACTTGAAAGCTCTGATACTGAGCCCTCTTGGGAAATGATTACAATCTCAGACACACAGGCAGCGAGGAGGAAGAGAGGCAAGCCCGGAGGCTGGAAACTGTGTTCCAAGCCTATCTGTGAAACGTGTCTAAAGAAATATTAGAGGTAGGGTAAGCACACAGTTAGGGGTTCTTCTATCAAAGAATTCTCCATCATTCACCTCAGCCAGAGACCTGCCTGCAATTCTCCCATTTCAGATTCCTTTCTTATGGTGAATCCCAGGCACCTTCCTTTTAAATGACAGCTCCACTGACTGAGACAGTGCAGGAGGCCACTCACACCACAGATAAGTTAAACAGACCACCAGGTCTGCCTGCAGGGGGGCCTGGGCCCTGGTTACTAGGGAGAGAGGGATGTCAGGCTGAGTGATAAAAGAATAAAACGAAGAAGCAAGTCTTCTACTGTTTTGAAATTGTGTCAAGAACTGAGCATGAGCAGAAACGCCCAAGTGATTACAGGGATTGCTGATGCCTAGGGCTTGAGGAGGAGGTCAGCAAAACTGGGGTGGCTCCTGTGCATCCAGATGTGTCCTGAGAGTGGCCGGAAAGGGCTAGAAAAGATAAGAGGGAAAGAGAGATAGAGGGAAGGGGCAGAAAAGAATGAGGAGGGAATAGAAAGTTTGCAGGAAAAATGCGTGAGAGGGAAGGGAGAGAGGCAAAGAGGGTTGCTGCAGGAGTCTGACCTCAGAGATGGCTGAAGAGGATTACAGCAGAAGGGAAAAGCCATGACTCTACATGCCTCCCCCTCCCCCTTAGCTCCCCAATGAATCTAAGTAATCACCCATAGTCAAGACTTCCAGCCCATATGGAGCCTTGGTGCAAATGGAAAAAGATGCTGCCCCTGGGCAGACAGAGCACCTTGAGTAAATGGCTTCATAGTTAAATGGCACAGAAAAGTGGATATCAAGTCCTCACCCCTTGGCTGGGCACCTTTCTGCAGTGTATACACTGTACAATCTTACACAGTAGTCCTGGCTGTGATCTCACCATCCTAATATGACCACTGTTGCATTTTGGAGAGATACTGCCTTAAGCTGGTGAGAATCTTAGTTCACATCTAAAATTGCAAATGTTGATGTCTTGATTATCCTTAGATTGCTGGGAGACTTCTGGAGAAAATAGTGCTTCAAATAGTTTTGTTTTGCTTTGATTATCTATGGGGAAATTAGAAGAGCTGCCCGTAATCTGGTCCAACACGAAGGTAAAACCAGAGAATCCACATATAAATGACCATAAAGCAGACACTAAGAAGTTGGTTAGGACCACAAAGCTCAAGAGGTCCAGACAGGTCCCCTTACATGACTGAAAGTTAATGGACATCAAAATACCTGATGTGAGGGCAGTGTTTTACTTTCTCAGAGCCTTCTGTGCCTAACCTGTCAGTGAGTCTCAGCCTCCGGTGGACTGGAGTCAGGGCATGGGACACCATCTCCATTTGACAGTGGCTAATGGAGGCACGAAAACTTTGGTTGTACAGGGACTGAGAACGCGCAGAAACTTGGGTCTAGCTGTCTCTAGTTTTGTGCTTGCTTCTTTCAAATTCCAGTTTCCTCTCAAGGTATGAAGTTTTTGATTTACCTGCAAAGAAGCCATCTCTCCCTGGTGCAGAACAGACAACTCTCTTAAAAGTTTACCCTGGGTGAGAAGCCATCATATTAAAAGAAATGAAGCCTGAACTGTGAGTTGTCACTGCTGTTTGTCTGCAAGCTTGGACTCCAGCTTCATCTTTACAGCTCTTGTTGATTCACTCCACACCTCCTTCAGACAATTTCTCTTTGACTTTAATGAGGAGAAACACAGAGATTTCTCTGTTCTGAAAGCCAAGTAGGATTTCCATATTCTCCTATTCATAACTGTGCAGCATATGGAATTGTAAATGCTAAACACTGTTTTCACAAAGAACTGAAGCCAGGTCTGAATTCACTTGGAGCAAAGAGAAAGGTTAATTATTGTATCAAACTTCAAAATGGAAGACAGAAAAAGGAAGTAACTGTTGGATGTTTTTAAACGAATTTCCCTCTTGAACCCCAGAAACGCAGGTACTCTGAAAAGTACTTTCCTGTTGAGCCTGACTTCCAGGGCTTCCCTCAGCTGAAGGACTTGAAAGCTTGAGGCCCTGGGAACAGGGTGAGGGAAATGAGACCTGGGGAATTCTCTGAAGAAGCAGCCAAAAAGCTTGGCACATGATTGAGGAGTGGTAAGCATGTTTCCAATGAAAACATTCTCTTGTTTTAAAGCCATTTCCACTAATGGAGTGTTTGCAGAAAGTAGGATATTAAAGCGGAAAATGCAAAAACGATCAGTTTTCTCCAAATGCCTGTGATCAATGTGTTTGATTATACTCACTCATTCGGTTGTAATCTGTCTGTGAACCATAATTGATTCTCAGCTAAGTGGACAGCGAGTAGAATTTTAGCATGTGCCAATTCCTTCCGCACACCTTCCTTCTCAGTTGAAACTCACGTTGGAGATAATTAGAAAAAGCTGATGTCAGAGCTAGGCCTAGGGAATGGAGGGGACCCGGGAGGCAGAGCAGAAGCACCGGTTTGCCCAAGATGGCTTCAGAAGGATGTAGGAAGATGAAGGAAGGAAACCCGGGCTTGACTTAGAATTGCACAGTGCTTTGTGCAGATGGGGGAAGTGGGCTGGGCCTGTGTGCAGGGCTGCTGGCGGGCGCTTGGGTTGGCATTCTGGTGGGAGCCGTTAAAGCCTTAAACTTGGGTGTTAGGGAGAGAATGCATCACCTAAGTTAAACTATGGTTATCCTCGAGACCGGGTGTCTGGTGCCCTCCGTGACCTGGATGACGGCCCCAGCATGGCATCCTGCTTGCATGGGCAGAGTGGGCTCTGAGGGCACGCCCCGGGGCTCCTGACTGAGGCCACCAGCGCTCACCACCGCTGCGGAGCTGACCCAGGCTGAAGAGAAGCTCTCCCACCGGCCAAGTCCTCCACTCCAGCTGTCAGTGGCAGAGGCACTGCTGCCCCTGATGGACCAGCGGTGCGCAGAGCTCTGCGCAGTGAGCGGCTGAGGAAGCCTGCGTGTTTTCCCGGGCCCACCCAGAGGATGGGTCTAAGCCGACTGGGGACATCTGTCTTCCCACAGATGGGATCCTGCTGTTGATTTGTCTCCGATGTGCCCTTTGGTGGCACCCAGCTAGCTGCTGGGTGACGACTCTCATTCATGGGCATTCGGCAAATGACAGCCTCAATGTGCTTTAGAACTCTTTGATAAGTTGCAGTTGAAGCTCAAAATCTACTTATCATATTGCATGACTTTCAAAATCTACTTACATTATTACAGGACATTTGTCAGCAAAAGCAAAGGAAGAGCCATTAGGTACTTTACATATGGTTTGAACTATTAGAAAGTTTTCAGTGCTTGTGAAGTAATGGCTTCCAGAATATTTTTGTTACCTACATGCAAGAATTTTGGTGGTAGGGACTGTCAAAAATTTGAAGAGGTTGTTATTCAAAAGTATTCAGTAACCTAATTCAAAAATACATCAAAAAGATCATCCATCATGATCAAGTAGGATTTATTCCAGGGATGCAAGGATGGTACAACATCTGAAAATCCATCATCATCCACCACATCAACAAAAAGAAGGACAAAAACCACATAGTCATCTCCATAGATGCTGAAAAAGTGTTTGACAAAATTTAACATCCATTCATGATAAAAACTCTCAACAAAATGGGTATAGAGGGCAAGTACCTCAACATAATAAAGGCCATATATGACAAACCCACATCCAACATCATACTTAACAGCGAGATGCTGAAAACTTTTCCTTTAAGAGCGGGAACAAGACGGGGATGCCCACTCTCCCCACTGTTATTCCATATAGTTGTGGAGGTCCTCGCCACGGCAATCAGACAACACAAAGATATAAAAGACATCCAGATTGGCAAGGAAGAAGTTAAACTGTCCCTGTTTGCAGATGATATGATATTGTACATAAAAAACTAAAGAATCCACTCCAAAACTTCTAGATCTAATATCTGAATTCAGCAAAGTTGTGGGATAAAAAATTAATACACAGAAATCTGTGGCATTCCTATACACTAAGAAAGAACTAGCAAAGAGAGAGAAAACAGGAAAACAATTCCATTCATAATTGCATCAAAAATAATCAAATACTTAGGAATAAACCTAACCAAGGAAGTGAAAATCCTATACTCTGAAAACTACAAGACACTCATGAGAGAAATTAAAGAAGATACCAATAAATGGAAACACATCTGGTGCTCATGGATAGGAAGAACTAATATTGTCAAAATGGCCATCCTGCCTAAAGCAATCTATAGGTTCAATGCAATTCCTATCAAATTACCAATAGCATTCTCCAATGAACTAGAGAAAATCATCCTAAAATTCATATGGAACCACAAAAAACCCTGAACAGCCAAAGCAATACTGAGAAGGAAGAATAAAGCAGGGGGAATTATGCTCCCCAACTTCAAGCTCTACTACAAAGCCACACTAATCAAGACAATTTGGTACTTGTGCAAGAACAGACCTATAGACCAAAGGAACATACTAGAGAGCCCTGATATAAACCCAACCATATATATGATCAATGAATATATGATAAAAGATCCATGGACATACAATGGGGAAATGACAGCCTCTTCAACAGCTGGTGTTGGCAAAATTAGACAGCTACATGCAAGAGAATGAAACTGGATTATTGTTTAACCTCATACACAAAAGTAAACTCTAAATGGATCAAAGACTTGAATATAAGTCATGAAACCATAAAACTCTTAGAAGACAACAAAGGCAAACATCTCCTGAATATAAGCATGAGCAACTTCTTCTTGAACGCATCTCCTCAAGAAAGGGAAACAAAAGCAAAAATGAACTCATGGGACTACATCAAGCTAAAGAGTTTCTGTATGGGAAAGGACACCATCAACAGAACAAAAAGATATTCTACAGTATGGGAGAATATAGTTGTAAATGACATATCTGACAAGGGGTTAACATCCAAAATATATAAAGAACTCACACGCCTCAACACCCAAAAAAGCAAATAACCCAATTAACAAATGGGCAGAGGATATGAAGAGACAGCTGTCCAAAGAAGAAATTCAGATGGCCAACAGACACATGAAAAGATGCTCCACATCACTAATCATCAGGGAAATGCAAATTAAAACCACAATGAGATATCACCTCACACCAGTAAGGATGGCCAGCATTGAAAAAACTAAGAACAACAAATGCTGGTGAGGATGCTGAGAAAGGGGAGCCCTCCTACACTGCTGATTGGAATGTAAGCTAGTTCAACCATTGTGGAAAGCAATATGGAGGTTCCTCAAGAAACTAAAAAATAGAAATACCATTTTACCTGGGAATCCCACTCCTTGGAATTTACCCAAAGAATACAACTTCTCAGCTTCAAAAAGACATATGCACCCCTATGTTTATCACAGCACTTTTTACAATAGCCAAGATATGGAAGCAACCTAAGTGTCCATCAGTAGTTGAATGGATAAAGAAGATGTGGTACATATACACAGTGGAATACTATTCATCCATAAGAAACAAATCCTACCATTTGCAGCAACATGGATAGAGCTGGAGGACATTATGCTCAGTGAAATAAGCCAGGCAGAGAAAGACAAATACCAAATGATTCCCCTCATTTGTGGAGTATAACAGTGAAGCAAAACTGAAGAAACAAAATGGCAGTAGACTCACAGACTCCAAGAACGAACTAGTGGTTACCAAAGGGGAGGGGTGGGGGAGGGCAGGTGGGGAGGGAGGGAGAAAGGGATTGAGGGGTATTCTGTTTAGTACACATGGTGTGGGGGATCATAGGGAGAACAGTATAGCACAGAGAAGGCACACAGTGGATCTGTGGCATCCTGCTGCACTGATGGACAGTGACGGCATTGGGGTATGGGTGGGGACTTGACAATATGGGTAACTGTAGTAACCACACAGTTTTTTTCATGTGAAACCTTCATAAGAGTGTTGTATATCAATCGTACCTTAATAAAAAAAGTCTTCAGTGATGAGTTTCCTGGAGCCATTTCAATCATAAAACCTGGTGAAAAGTTATTTAAAAAGTGCTCAGATTTTCCACTAAAAATCTGAATATATTTTCTGAAAATTTTACATAAATTGACACTTTGTATTTTTCTCATAGCTGTAATTATTCTTTTTGTTTAGCAAGCCCCATATGGACAACCCCAAATACCCTCCAGTTCATCCCATTTTTTTTCTATGTGCCATGACATGAAAGGTTGGGGAGCGGTGAGAATTAGATTGAAAAAAAATGACGACTGTGGGTGCTTCTACAGCAAAACAAAGCACACACCGAAGCATCTACTGAACATTCAGCACAGGGAGATCCTGACAACGTTTAGCAAGCTGGGGATGGAAAATAGAATGAATTATATAGTTACCTGTTATTACTAATTAAAATGTGTGAGATGCCATTAACTTTATGTTCATTTGGTTTGCTTTCTTTATTAGTTTACACCTGCGAACATAAAAATATTTGTAAGTGCTTTCACAGTTTCATTATGCCAGGTCCCTTTTCTCTCCTGTGGCTGAGGGAAGGGCCACTAAATATGTTTTTCCTGTCTATGGCTTATTCACTCGTATCTCTTTACTTGAATTTGAAAGCTGAATTTGGATAGGATGGTGAGAATCACTTGCTTTTAAGGTTTCAGAGAGTTCTTGACCCAGTTTGCTGTCAAGATAAATTAGGACAAGACCACTGATTCTGACCTTTTTTCTAAAACATGAAATTAAGCTTTAAATTCGTTTATTCAAGAGATATCATTGAAAACCAATATGCTCTTAATTTATTCCTTTTTGTCCCCACTTTTACTAAAATATAATTGACATATAACATTGTATTAATTTAAGGTGTACAACATAATGATTTAATGTATGTCTGTATTGTGAAATGATCACCCTAAGTTTAGTTAACATCCACCACCTCACATAGTTACAATTTTTTTTAAGATCTACTCTTTTAACAAAACTTAAATATACAGTATAATACAGTATTATTTAACTATAGTCACCATGCTGTACATCCCCAGAACTTCCTGAACTCCTTTGGAGGAAATCGTTTCCCTCCACCTAGTCACCGTGTGCTGGCGATTTATGCGAGCGGGTTTGCAGTAGGACCTCTTTGCTGTCCTAACCGACGCTCCCCACTTCCTGAGGAGCCTGAAGGGAAGAGAAATAAAAGGACAAAGGAGTGATAGAGAAGGAAGTTGGGCAGGCTTATGGGCTTTCTTTACTGGGCACTTCACAAACTTCCCTGTTAAAGCATTCTGCTCCATGTCGGTAAAGAAATTCTGTTACTAATTCCACAATTTTCCTAAGGGCACCACTCAGGTTGCAGCTACCTTTTAAGTTTTTAGGTTCTTTTATTCCAGATAACAGAGCCTCAGAGTAAATCTTGGTTTATATTTTAGAGTAGAAATAACATACTTTCACCTCCTTGCATGACCAATTTCAACATAAAAATGGGAAACAGCAATTTTTTGTGAAAGCTGTGGGTGGGGGAGACCTTCCTGAGGGCTGATGCTTACCCCAGACCAGGAATATAAAATCTCTGAAACTCTCCTAGTTCCACAGACAGACACACGTTAGCCCCAGACAGCCCCTTTGCCTTTCGGAATTGCTCTTTGGGAAGGCTGATGAGGCTGGGAATTCAGGAGGGCTGCAGAATAAAGTCATGTTACAAAAGGACAGTACACCTATGTCCAAAGCAGCGTAGGAGAGAGTTTCAGAAACAGCTGTGACCTCATTTCCAGAACTTCCTGTGTTAGTGCTTCTCTACCATTTTGTTTTCCATCACAGCTGACTGGCAGGGGTTCTGTGCCTACACATTAGTAACGGGTTGACTGCAGCTCTGAAGGCGATGGTGTGATTGGGGCTCCATAGGAGATTCTGATATGTGCTCTCTTCAGGAGCAGATGCCTGCCCTCACGCCCCCTGTTGACAGCAGCAGGTAACCTCAAATCATACTGTCTACTTACATAGCTGCCTTTGATGTTTGAGGAGGAAACAGCTGGAGAGTCATTCAGAGTGGAGCATTGTAGTGCAAATCTTCCCGCAAGACTGATTTTTTCCTGCTGGAAGCATGTGGAAAAGCACAGGACCCAACCTAAAAGAACTCCCAGTGGCCAAAGTTGGAACAATTTAAACAATAAACTGTAATAATAATGGATTATAACCTATGTAGGATCTTCTCTCAACAGTACTCATTCTCTCCTTTTGTCCCTAAGGCATGTTGGACTCATTCTATTTCTATTATATCAAGTATTTGTTTATCCATCTATCCATTAAGCAACTGAGCAGCTACTCTGTGCCAGGCACTGACCTGGGTTTGGGTGAACTCCTTGAGGAGTTTATAGTTAAGAGACCAAGACAGAAAAGAAAGAAACAAGTGAATAAATAAGTACGTAACTACAGCAAGGGCTATAAGGGAAACCAATAGCATGCAGGGATAAAGAATAATGGGGTGGGGTGGGTGGATATTTTTAGATAAGACAGTCATTTAAATGACTCTTTAATGGCCTCATTCAAAATGTCTATTAATTCTATCAAAAAATCCTCCTTAAGAAAGTTCTGTCAATATGGAAAAGTACGAAAACCAGTGAAAAATTATCCATAATCCTACCACTCAGAAACTATAATCATGATCAGATATTTTAATATATACACATAGGGAAGGATCCATATGCAGACCCACATGATCACACTGCATATTACGTTTTAATAAAACTATTACATTCAGTTTCACTTGGATTCAACTTTAGTGAACAAGATCGAATTGTTGACTTTCAAATAAATGTGTACTAGATACTAGTTCGAAGACCTTGGCTGCCCGTGAGAACATCCCGAGCTGTCGTAGCACAGGGTGGAGAGGTGGGGTAATCAGCTCTGCCCGGGATAGGAGGTTGGGGCAAGGACCACTTAGCACCGGTGGTAATGTCTAAGCCAGACTTTCACCCCTAAACATGGTTTCACAGCACAGAAAGGGGGGACCAAAGACATCTCAGACAGAGTCCCCAGCTTGTGCATGTGCTCTGCGGCATGACAGGAGCTGGTGCAAGTGAGGAACTGGCCCAGGGCTCAGGCAGTGGTTCGGAAATGGAAATGCGGAGCCATGGCTAAGCCTGGAGGGAGGGAGGCCCATGTGACAAGGGAGGCCCATGTGACAAAGGAGGCCCATATGACAAAAGTGCTGCTCTGCCCCATTAAGGAAAGTTTTGCTCTCAGTCTATGTAAGGGGGTCAGTAAAAGTATTATCCATGTTTCCATTTTTTAAAAAAATCAGTAAAGAAATGTAATTAAGCTGCTTAATATTCTTTGATCAAAAACTGTGACAGATTCTTCCTGACTTTTAATTTCATTAAACATTTGTCTAAGATTATTTTCTACATTTACTAGAGCAGAAAATTAATCTTATGAAATTCAGCTTGTTGTCCCTTTGCCTCAGTAGTGAGGAGACTTGGAGGCAGGCATGGGTGCCCATTCAGTGCCTTTCCAGACTCTGGGAATCTAGCTGCTAGCGGGTGACCAGATTTCAGTTACCTCTGAATTCTCAGAGATGTGTCCCCCCAGGCCCCCTTACCCTGTGGTGCGACTCCGTGATACTGATTGGCCCCTCCGTAGAGCGCACATTCTTCCAGTCCCACTGGACTGCTCCCAGCCCCCCACCTGGCTCCCTGCCCCAGTGCCTGCTCACCTGGGGGGCACCTAGCCCACGTTCCTGCCCAGCAGGCCTGTTTCATGCAGAGGGCACTTGACACGTTGAGACAGAGGAAGCTGGCTGGTATGGCTGGTGTGAGCGAAGGTCAGCAGGGGCTACATCACAAAGGATTTGCTTTTGTCCCAAGTGCAGAGTGACTGATACATGCTAATTGTTCTGCTGTCACACCCCAACAATCTGCAAAGACCATACACAGTTTAGAGAGTCATTTTGATAATCAGGATTTAAATATTACTTATGTGGCTGTGAATAATGGGGAGTGATTATTAGTTAAGAAAACCCTAGATGTAATTTCAGCTCTGATAATGTCTTTTTTTCTGTGGTGGGGAGCCCTTGCTGGCCTGACTCAGTTTGCCTATTGGAACAAATGGAGGATGCATTAGTGATTATAAATTCCACTGGAGAATAAAGGGCAGAATTTCATGTTCTTTTGGGTAATAGAAGTCCTACTTTCCATCTGTGCTTCTTAATTAAAAAAATTATAATTTCACCTAGGACTTTAAAAATTGCAGATGCTCACATCCAAACCAAGACCAAGGACTCAGAATCACTGGTTTTGAGCTCAATATATGAGCTCCAAAGTTATTTCTAATGTTCATCTTTGAGAAATGCTGCTTCAGATGACTATAAAAATCCTATTTAGTTTGGTATAAGAATTGGATAAGAATGGAGACTGGTGTCCTCTATTTTTACTTTTGAAATTGCTTTCCCTAAGGAAGTTAGGTCTTAATTTTGAAGCACTGTTTGAAAAGCCATTATTATGCATTTCTTCTCCCTTAACTCTCTGGATAAACATCTTGAGCTAAGCCATTAGCAAGAGAAAACTGCAGTGATTATTGCCTTTAGTCTCTGGAGTTTTGGCTCCACTCAAATTAGAGGAATTTCCTGATAGATTCATTTGTTCTGTCACTTAACAATTTTATGTGAAGAAAGTGGTTGGAGGGTTCTTATTAATGCATGTTCTTGTAGGATACAGGCAATGAAAAACCACCACCACATATGGAATAGGAGCAAATATGAAAATGGTAAATCTTTAACCTTGCTTTTGATCAAATAAATTCAAGTATTTATTGTCTGTCTATTCTCCACTCAGAAGGCAAAGAGAAAATGTTCCTTTGTCATATTCTGGAACCTGTACATTAAGCGAAGTATCAAAGAAGGTCTAGATGATTATTTTAACTCAAAGCCACAGCTGTTGGTGAGGCTCAGAAGGAATTTAATTTCCTGATCCAAGAACTAAACACGCTGAAGTTGTCCGCTTGGCCTCTCCATTCTCCCCTGTGCTGACTAGTTTATGGACATCACTGAGTTACCGGTACCTTTTACAGAAGCAACGAACTTTTATATCCATTACAGAATAAATGTAGGTCAGCGTGTCTAAGACATTTTGGGTAAATACAGGCTTGCTCATCAGGAGGCATGTGTACATTCCCCCTTTGCAGGTAAGTTGAGCCATGTGACCACTTCTGACAAATGAGCTGTGAATGAAACTGACCCATCACTCTGGGTTCCTGTGAGTTCTCTTTGTCTCCCATTGGACTGTTCCAGGGTGATGTTTCAGGTGATGGAAGCTATGAACCTGGGTCTATAAACCCGAGTGACTATGTGCAGCAGGGCCCTCCAGCTGCAGTGGGCATGCAGCATGAGTGAAAAAGTAACTTCAGCTCTTTTGGGCCACTGAGATTTTGGAATTTGTCACTGCAGGATTGCCTACCCAGACTTGACCAATGCAGGTATTATTTTCCTATGAGTTATCACATAACACCCCAAAACATGGGCTCCTTTGCTATGTTTTATTCAGAGTGATCAGTGTTTGGAAGATCAAAGTCAAACCTGTGGGGAGAGGTGCAAATGAAAGCAAGGACGTATTTTATTTCAAAATTTTTAGCCAGAGGACTCTGAGACTTAGAGAATTATGTGGAAAAGCACAGGACCCAACCTAAAAGAACTCCCAGTGGCCAAAGTTGGAACAATTTAAACAATAAACTGTAATAATAATGGATTATAACCTATGTAGGATCTTCTCTCAACAGTACTCATTCTCTCCTTTTGTCCCTAAGGCATGTTGGACTCATTCTATTTCTATTATATCAAGTATTTGTTTATCCATCTATCCATTAAGCAACTGAGCAGCTACTCTGTGCCAGGCACTGACCTGGGTTTGGGTGAACTCCTTGAGGAGTTTATAGTTAAGAGACCAAGACAGAAAAGAAAGAAACAAGTGAATAAATAAGTACGTAACTACAGCAAGGGCTATAAGGGAAACCAATAGCATGCAGGGATAAAGAATAATGGGGTGGGGTGGGTGGATATTTTTAGATAAGACAGTCATTTAAATGACTCTTTAATGGCCTCATTCAAAATGTCTATTAATTCTATCAAAAAATCCTCCTTAAGAAAGTTCTGTCAATATGGAAAAGTACGAAAACCAGTGCAAAAATTATCCATAATCCTACCACTCAGAAACTATAATCATGATCAGATATTTTAATATATACACATACGGAAGGATCCATATGCAGACCCACATGATCACACTGCATATTACGTTTTAATAAAACTATTACATTCAGTTTCACTTGGATTCAACTTTAGTGAACAAGATCGAATTGTTGACTTTCAAATAAATGTGTACTAGATACTAGTTCGAAGACCTTGGCTGCCCGTGAGAACATCCCGAGCTGTCGTAGCACAGGGTGGAGAGGTGGGGTAATCAGCTCTGCCCGGGATAGGAGGTTGGGGCAAGGACCACTTAGCACCGGTGGTAATGTCTAAGCCAGAATTTCACCCCTAAACATGGTTTCACAGCACAGAAAGGGGGGACCAAAGACATCTCAGACAGAGTCCCCAGCTTGTGCATGTGCTCTGCGGCATGACAGGAGCTGGTGCAAGTGAGGAACTGGCCCAGGGCTCAGGCAGTGGTTCGGAAATGGAAATGCGGAGCCATGGCTAAGCCTGGAGGGAGGGAGGCCCATGTGACAAGGGAGGCCCATGTGACAAAGGAGGCCCATATGACAAAAGTGCTGCTCTGCCCCATTAAGGAAAGTTTTGCTCTCAGTCTATGTAAGGGGGTCAGTAAAAGTATTATCCATGTTTCCATTTTTTAAAAAAATCAGTAAAGAAATGTAATTAAGCTGCTTAATATTCTTTGATCAAAAACTGTGACAGATTCTTCCTGACTTTTAATTTCATTAAACATTTGTCTAAGATTATTTTCTACATTTACTAGAGCAGAAAATTAATCTTATGAAATTCAGCTTGTTGTCCCTTTGCCTCAGTAGTGAGGAGACTTGGAGGCAGGCATGGGTGCCCATTCAGTGCCTTTCCAGACTCTGGGAATCTAGCTGCTAGCGGGTGACCAG